TGAATAAAGTCCCAATTCAAATGACCTACAAAAATATCACTGAACACACAACAAAAATTAAAGATTCGAAGATAAGAAATACAAAATAAACAAGGATTTTAATTGGGGTGGGTTAAGGTTGAAGAAGATTGAGAAGATGCAGGTGTGGCGGTGGTGGGTGCTTCCAAGTGAGGGAGAAAGAGGAGAGTTGATCGGGGAGAGAGAGAGAGAAAGAGGTGAAAATAATTTGGGTATTGGATATGAAAATAATTTGGGCATTGGATCTGAGTCCATTTTAAAGTAACTAATGAAAATGTGATTAAAAATAAATATAGATGAAATAAAAATAAAGAACTAAAGGGCATTTTAGTAATTATATTGATTTCTATTCCGATTCAAGTGAATTAGTAAACAACTGATATGAATTTCATTTCATTTTTACTCCGATTCCAGAACATTTAAGTAAATAGCTTCAACAGGAATCCAATTCTGACTCCTCCTCAATCCAATTCCTCCACAATTCAATTCCTCCTCAATTCAATTCCTCTATTTTGATTACGGTTACGTAAACGTGCCATTACCATTAAGTTTGAATATTTCTTTCCATAGTTTAGATGAATTGAGTCTAAAATTTATTTCACTTGAGTCACATAATACAATGAAATATGAGTTAGGAGATTATATTAGTGGAGACTTAACCTTATAAATTCTTAGCTCTTTGTGTAAGTTACACACTTATTTTTGTGTTTCTAATTTAAATGAATTTAGTTTGTGAAATTTTATTTGTACCCAACTATTCTCATTCTACACTCAATTTTAATATTTTTACACCTAAACTCTCAATTTTTATCCTTATAAAAAAGTGCAGCACTACTAAAAAAACTTTATGATGTTTTGGTTAGTAACTTTGTAAATACTATCTGTTTAATTTCTTTTAAATTTGTGATATGCCTCTTCTCACATGAAATACGAACTCCGCCACTAATGAGTATGTGTTGGGATCGCGTTCGACGCAACTTTTGTTAGCGGAGAAGATGGCAAAGCTAAAGTTGAGAGGGAGTCACGTGGTGGTTGTTTGGGTGGTGGCGCGATGTCTGGTGGGGGATGGGTTTTCAGCAGTCGTGTTGAAAATGGGAGTAGAATGATTATTTTGTGTTACGGTAAAATGGGAATTGCAAATAATATTTTTTTTGTTAATGTATAAAAATAAGGGAAATGAATCATCTCCGGATTCTTTTCCACCTAATCCACCTAGTCCGGAATCCGAGCCGTTGAAATTTAATCAAACGGCTACAGTTATTATTACTTTTAGAGAGGTTCCCTGTTTGTAGCCGTTGAATCAAATTTCAAGTCTCAGACTAAATGAATTAGGTGGAAAGGGATCCGGAGTGAATTCCTTTCCAAAAATAGGCCCCCATGATTGCTGTCCTTCGTCTGCTTTGTTGATCATATGTTCGTTTTTGGTCCTCTATAATATAAAACTACATGATTTGCCAAAGGTAGAACAACATTTTGAAGTTCTCTATTAGGATCTTTGTTGTATTATGTGTACGCTTGTTTCCTTGATTTTACACGGTATTTATAACTGTTCTATTTGTCTCATCAACCATTTTGGAATGTTTGTTTGGTTCTTTTAATAAATTTATAATATGAGGAGGAGCAGGTGTTGTATTTATTTTTAAGTTGCAAGTGAAAAGAACAAAAACATGAGAAGTTCGCATACAACATTGACACGCATCGCACTGCATACAAGATAATTTGTATCGGTTCTCACTTGGTGATTTGTGATACGATTTTATAAAACCTTAGACCTGGAGATGTTTTGTTTTGTTTTGTTTCATCACGAGATTAAGTAGAGAGTATATATAGTTCTTAATTAATAATCGTGAGTCATGCTGGTTTTTGTTTTGTGTTTTATGGTCGAAACGAATCATGCTGCAGGCCTGCAGCAGATTGGCATCTGTGTTGAATTGTTAATGTCATGGTACCATGAGCCAATGGGGGGGACACCACTCCTTTATTGAACACACAACCACCACTCCTTTACAAAATTGGATGTTGAGAGTAGTTGAAAATTGGATGTTGAGAGTAACTAATCAACTAATTAGATCCTTTCCCAAACAGCCACTCAATGTTACAGTCTAATAGTATTTTTCTTCCCTAGTAAGTGAGAGATCTTATGTTCAATTATCGTCAAAGACGAATTTAAACTATATTATTGCTAACCCCTTGTGAGCTCACTCCTCCACCCCTTAGACCTACTCCAACTCTTGGAGTAAAACTCAAATTTTAGGTTCTAAACTTACCCTAACTTGATTCAACTTGGGGCAAATATGAGTTTTAACCCAAAACTTATTTCTAGGACAAATTTAGACTAGGATTCCCCTGGGTTAGTGAGGCTGCCCCACCATATATGTGTATTTTTTTTAGTTTTAAATTTATAAATTCGTTCAATCCAACTACTAAGATCTAATATGATTAAATCCAATAGTAAAAGAAAGGCTTAAATGTTAAAATGGTCCCTATGTTTTAGTCATTGGGTCAATTTAGTCCTTATGCTTTCAATTTAGCCAATTTGGTCATTGTGTTTATCTCCGTTAGCCAATTTAGACAATTTGGTTATTATAACTTATTTATAAAATTATAATTTATTTGATTTAAAATATTTAAAAATAAAATTAAATTAAAAATTAAAAGTTAAAAGAAAAAGTATTCTCCTCTCAACTCTCCGACCTCTTCCCTAACATTACCCCCTCTCTTTTCTATGTCACAACCTTAATCATTTTTCAGATTGGAAGTTTTATCTCTTATGTGTTATTTCTCATTGGTTTACATTTTCTGTAAAGAGAAAAGGTAATTATATCTCATACGATTTTTATTATGAATTTTTAAAAGAGATTGGATGAAATGTCCTTAATTGGTTAACAGAGAAACACGAGGACTAAGTTAGCCAAATTGAAAACACGGGGACTAAAGTGGTCATATGGCTATAACATAGGGACTATTGTGACATTTAAGCCTACAAAAAAGATCTAATGGTCCAAATTTAATCCAACGGCTCAAGTAATTAAAAAAATATTCTTTGCTCAAGTAATTTAAAAACAATTTTTTTTTATATGTATTTCATATTCTTTCATACTGTTCTACGAGTTTCATGGTGTCCGTTTAGTGATTTTCAATATTTTTGAGTTTAAAATGTTAGATTTTAACCTAGGAGTTGGAGATGATTTTAGTGTAGATAATATCATTTGTTAAAAACCAATAAATTAAGTACGTGTAGGTACACAAATAAATTGGACCACAAGCAGCTCTAAGCAGTCTTCAAAAATGCGAAGCCTACACCGTAGTGGAAGTTGGTCCAATATGATAAAAGCAGATGACACTTTATTACCGTTTTAGTTTGGTTTAGGTCAAGACATGCATGTGACGTGTGACCTTATGGCGGGATTCGAAGTAGAATTGAATAAGTTCAAAGCCAGCCGTGCTCCTTGAAGTTCCTTAGACAACCCAAAACCCCAATTCAATCATAGAAGAAAATAAAATCCAAAGTCCAACCTTCGGAGAAAATGAGAGAAAGAGATAGGGACCATCGCATTTTGGCCCTTTCACCAACGAATTGGTTCTAGAGCCGATCTTAGAAGTGGAGGTCCTAATTGAGGGGCTAAGATGTTGTGGAAGGGCAGCAGACACTGAAGTGAGCAAAGGCCTCGTTGTAAGCTTGGTGGTGCAAGTGCTCGAACTCAAGGATTAGATTGTCGTAATTGAAAATAAAAAATTGGAGAGCAGAGGAGGAAGCTGATTGAGACTGAGTGTGAAAGTCATCTTCATGTGGAGGAGGTCGAAAAAATTTTGGGGGTTCTGAACTAAATGAAGGTTGTCTGTGAGAGTATAAAAGAGGAAGAGAAAGGGATCGTGCTGCATGCCATGGCTGGCTGTGCTTGGGTTAGGATGTGATGGGTTAGGTTTCTGTGGTTTTGGATTATCTTTTATACTATATAAAGGACAAAGATGACGGTAAAAGACATTCGAGCCTTTTGTTTTTTGGTTTTTTTTTTTTTTTTTTAAGAAAACTTTATTTTAAGGGTGTATTAGTATTTTCATATCAACTTTTAGTTATAATTATTAAAAATTTAAAATGATAGTTAAAATTCTATTTAGAGTCTAAAATTTGATTATTTTTTCAAATTTCCCAATCAAATTACCTGGACGCGCTTGCGCTTTTACCAAAACGGCGTCAACGTACAGCATCGACCTTGAATGGTCCGCTTGGACAGAACGCAGCCGCCAGTGTTGTGACTCTCTCTAGTCCTTTTGCTCCTCTTTACTCTTTCATGAATTATATGCCATTTTAAAAATAAATAAATAAAAACTGTAGAGGAATATTCCTTCTGTATAAATAAAGTAAGGTGTAATTAGATTATTAGTCTCGTGGTTATACGGTAATTGAAAGATAATTTAAGTGGTAAAAAAAAAATTAGAATTTAAGCTCGTGTAATGAAGTTTTTTAGTTTTTATATACTAACAATTAACGGGGAGTTGACGAAATTTTCAAACTTGGGCCTAAATCCTAACGACTTCACCACAGAAGTTTAAATCCTAATTTTTTACCATAAGAGTTATCTTTCAACTACTACACTATCACGATGAAGACTAATAATCCAACTAGACCTAAAAGTAAAACTGACCACAATATTTACCTACTCTCTCAAATGAATGAGTTATGACACATAGTATTATGGTCTAATTATATTCTTATTCACTTATAAGTGAAAATTTTTATATTGGAATCTTGCCAAAGTGCCAACTATAGATAATATATTTTGTTAAAAAAATAGAAGTATTATTGAAATATTTGAGTTGGATACTTGGATTCTCATTTGCTCTTTGAAAGGTCAAAAAGGTCAAAAGGAAAAACTTTTTATATGATGTGCGGTGTGCCCGACACAGTTGCAGTTCATACTTCCGTTTTTTACTCTCGCTCTATCTTTAGCAGTCTATTCTTCTCCCCCAAATTCCGAAACCAAAATTCAGAGAACAAGGAAATGGAAAACGCCACTGTCATCTCCGGCGACAAGCCTACCGTGATGGTGACCAATGACGACGGAATTGAAGGGCCAGGACTTCTCGCTCTCGTCCATGTCCTCGTCTCCACCCATCGCTTCAATGTTCTCGTCTGTGCCCCCGACTCGTACGTAAAAGAAAAGAATTAAACATTTAAATGCTCTTCAGTCTTCACTTCCTCCAATCAAAATCCAATCCTTCATTTTTGCTGATTCAAAATTCGTATGCCTTTGCAGGGAGAAGTCAGCAGTGAGTCACTGCATCACATGGCGCCATCCGATTGCTGCCAAGAAAGTGCATATCGATGGAGCAACAGCGTATGCTGTTTCTGGTATGGAAAACCCCAGAATGTTTTTTCCAGTTTTTTTTCCAAAGTGATTACTTCCCTTTTCACCCAGAAAGGTAAAAGGTAAACAAGCTTTGTTCTTGATCAACTCTGTTTGCAGGATCTCCAGCTGATTGTGCTTCTTTGGGTGTTTCCAAAACGCTTTTTCCTACAATTCCTGACCTGGTAAATATTTTTTACTTCTGCACTGTTGCCTTTGATCACATTTCTTATCTGGGGTTTTTCTGATTTGTAATTACATGTGTTACTGTTTATACACACAGGTAATCAGTGGTATAAACAAGGGCAGCAACTGCGGTTATCACATGTTAGTAATCTTTTGTCTTCTGTTTCCTGTCGATAATTAGTTATCATTTTTTAAGATTTTGTCTCAAAATTATCACATTTAAACACAAAGATATGTGTAAGTTGCATCAGCTTTGGCCAGTGAAACTGAAATGATTATCTTTTAATTGTTGAAACCCAATGTAATTCTATACTAACTATTTGCTTTCGAAAAGATTTGGGTTTCCAAAAGATGGTATGGTGAGGAAAGTAGAATGATTTTATTCCAAGCACAACTTCTCACAAAGATGTAATCTTTTCCCAAAAAGTTATGAAGATCTATTATTTTGATGAATAAAAGACAAACACCCAATAGTTTTGTTCTCGAGAGTAGCCTACAAATCTAGTTGTCCCTAAAAATTTCAAATTGCTAGTTTTATTTTCTTGCTTCTTTCAGCCCATAACATTATTAATAAAGTTCTTTATTGTAACTGTAGTGTTTACTCTGGAACGGTGGCTGGTGCTCGCGAGGCCTTTTTCAACGGTGTTCCTGCAATATCTGTATCATATGATTGGTAAGTGTACCGGTTTGATGGTTTATTGCTTGATGAACAATATTTTCTCTGCACATGAAGATGAATCTCAATGAACATTTCAAATTGTTAGGGCCGGTATTATATTTTTCTCGTAATTTTATTCTTTCCTTTTTTTACTTGGAGAAAAAGCAAATTCTTGTGTGTTTTTACCTATTTTAATCTCCTGTATGACTACATTGAGTTCTGGCCGTACAGGGTTGGAGGTAAGAGCAATATTAATGATTTCACAATTGCTGCCGAGGCTTGCTTACCCATCATAAATGGAGTACTGGTGGAATTAAGAAACAAAACCTATCCTCAAAGATGTTTCTTGAATGTAGATCTGCCATGTAATGTTGCTAATCATAAGGTAAATTTCTGGATGCATGCTGTGTGTCTGTAATATTCAGTATAGCAACCCTCGTCAAATGCAGTTTCTCCTTAACAACTACAGTTGCCAACTTGCACGCCTACTTTGTCTTTTCTCTTTTCCAATGTGCTTGTATTGAGTCATTTTAAGACTCACTATACTGCAGAAGACAAAACTCAATGATAAGCGCAGTGGTATTTGTGCATGAACATGCTTATCCAGGTTATTTCACTACTGAAGTAATTTGTATCAGTAGCTTTTCTTTCTTTCCTTTCCTTCTTTGTCTCTCGTTTTCTTTTACTCTGAATACCTTTCAATGCAAGATTTGTAGGCAGTTTGTTTATTGTTATATGATTTAGTTATCGTTACTAGATTGCGCTTAAGTTTGGTTTTCTCTTAGGATATGGTCGGGTGAGGGACTTCCAAATTCCAAGGCATTTAGGCAAAGTGAAGAAGAAATGGACAGAAAGTTAAGACAGGAGGAATTAGAAATGCACCTCATGAGCATTGTATGAGATAGAGATTTGTAAATGATTCCAAGTAGTCATTTTCAAATTCCTCTATCATGCCTTTTATAATGCTAATGTGGTGCATGTCTAATCCCCCTGTCAAGCTTTTTGTGGTCCATTTCTTCATCACTATGCCTAAATCTCTTGGAATTTCGAAGTTCCTCACCCAAACATACCCTTAGTGAAATGGATGCTGCTTCCAGTTTTATGACAGGAGCATTATCCCTTATATTATCCATTGATTTTAACATATGGCTTTGCAATATTGTTCTCTTCTTCTCTTGTGCCTTAATAGGGGTATAAGCTCACTAAGCAAGGTAAAAGTATAATAAAAATGGGGTGGAGGCAAGTTACTTCTGACTCGGAAGGTGGGAAAATGTTGTCAACAATGGTAAATTCAATTGCGTCAGCTGAAATTGCTACATCAACCACACCAGCTGAAAATCCTTATTTCGCGAGAGAAGTGGGTCCTTTTCTCTTTCTTTCTGCTTTACTGTATTCTAGGCTGTTTCCCTTTTCCATTGCTTTTGTTTTCTTTTAAATAAAACTTGATTAGCTGTTTACCTCCTTATCATTTCTTCCTTAGAAACATAATAATTGGCTTCTTGTTAGTTCTCTTGGTTACATCATTGAATGAGAAATCTCGAATCCAAACTGATGAAGGAATTAGATAATCAAGCAGTGCAGTCTTTGGTGTCTTTTTGTTGGTGCTAGTCTGTGTTCTTCTTTAGAAACTAGTCTAAAAGTACACCATCTAGAATTTTGGGTTTTCTCCATCTTTCATACGGAAAACTATCATTTCCTTGAAGAAAGTTACTTTGAGAGTTTTTAAAAAGTGGCCATGGGGTTATTGGTGCTCTTGTAATTGTATATTTGGTTGAAACAACTATCGGTTAATCTGAACCTTTTTGGAGTACACCAATGTGGGTGGTTGACGAACACATTTGATGCTTTTGTTCTTCCTTTAAAGGGAACTGCAATTGTTGAATTGAGGCATCTTCGAATACCAGCTAATATGGGGAGAAGGGTGGTCAGGGGCCTTATTTATAAAACTCAAATTTAAGCATTGAATGATAAATTGTAGTGTTAAAGTTTTGTAGTCTTTGAAATTGTTTAGTGCTAAATCTGGGTTATCGATGCTGAAATTTGAAGTGCTGTAAATTTAGAACTGATTTAAGTACACTTTTTTGGTTAATAGTTGAAAATAGTTCCGAGTAAGGGAAAGCTGGTGCTAATTGCTTACAACTAGATAAGAAGGCTGATAATTTGGTGGTTGTGGTCTTGGTGGTGGAAGGTGGTGCTGCCAATGACTGATGGTAGACGCATGTATTTGGCTATGTCTGAACATGAGGTGGTAATGATGGTGGCAATACTGGTATTAGTGGCAGTTGTTGCCAAAAGGATAGTAAGGAGGGAAATGATGGTAATAATGTATAGGGTTTAAACAGCATTCAGTTCAAGGTTAAGATTTTGGATGATGGAAGTAAGGATGATAAAACTTTCATTCCGTAATATTTTTCATTCCGCAACATGCAATACTTTCTGAGATATTTTCGTGTGTTTGATTTCCTTTCTCTCGTTCTTTTGATTGTAGTTGACTTGAGTGAATGAGTTGCACAAATCTGATGCTGTTTAGAGCAGCCAAAATTAAAGGGAATGTTTTCCTGGTTTGTGTGCATCATTTCAGGGTAATCTATTTCCAATTTTGCAGGTAAGGGGTGCCCAAGTTGATGAGGATGATAATGACCACCGCTTTCTTCAAGAAGGATATGTGCGTATCATTTTAGTTTCTGCAGACGTATCTTTGTAGTTTGCATGACTATACACTAACACAATACTCACGATTTGATCAGATTACTGTCACTCCTCTTGGTGTCATCTCTAATGCTGAGATAGACTGCCAGACCTACTTCAAAGAGTGGCTTCCAACCGTGGTTGAGCGCCCCTCTCCATCGGCTTTATAAAGCTATTAAACGACCTGGTTAGTATAACACAGTAAAGTTTTCATAAGTCTGAAATTCTTTTATATTTGTTAATTTTGAACCTTATAATTTTTAGGTACTTGTGTGATCAAACCTGGTCTTTGCACTGCTTTTACGAATTAGTATGAAAGTGTTATGTACATTGAGGGCCTGGAATTAATTCGTTGCCAATTGAGTCTCCGTGTCACTAAAACGCTTGCAAAGTTTCTCAGGTATTATTTTCGGCTATGCAGCCGTAGTGAGGCAACTCACCATAATACACATGAACAATTGTCTTACACAAGTATTTTCCAGTGATTAGAATGACTTATAATATACGGATATACTGTTATAAAGATATGTGTACATGTATAAGTTTAAATATTTTTATTTTATTAGTATAAGACAGTGTATGAAATGCCATGTAAATTGTTCTCCGTAATTAGAGTCGAATTTTGCGAAAATATTGAGGGATGGGACTTTAGGAGATTTGTCGTGCCCTATTTAACGTGTTGAAGTTGTATTTGCCCAAGGTGCAAAAAAGTTCTAAAAATATCTAAATCTAGTAAAAAAGATTAGACTAAATCGCACTACTTTATTAGCAGATATTAGTGGCCTGAAAGTGGCTGTTGCCACCAACTCGACCAGGTGTCTTGTGTTTCCAACGCACACTTATAAAAAACCAAAAAGAAGGAAATAATTACATCTCGAAAGGCCACTTCATCGGAAATTAGTCATTAAGGTTTCGAGTCACACATAAAAGCAATGACCTAAAGACAGTTTGATTACTGCTTTTTAATCATCCATGGACCAGGTCGGTGGACACCAAGATTTAGTATGTTACTAGCAAAGTGTTCGCGCGATGTGTTGGTGTTTAAGATGCTTTGGAAATATATGTATACAAGAAACAGAAGTTATAGAAACTAGACTTACAAACATAAGCTCATAGTTATCAAAAGATTGGTATCCTACCTGCAATGCCTTGTTGAATGTTGAAAAAGTTTCACACTGCCTTGAAATATCAGACGCATGATGGGTTATTCCAAGGACGTTATCTTGTCTGGAATACCTTGGTGATTGTTGAAAAAGTTTCACTCCGCCTTGAAATTTTAGGCATGGAGTAGATCATTCGAGGACGTTATCCTGTTCGAAATGCCCTTGTCTGTTTGAAATTAAAAACTAAAGACACTCAGTACTACGGTCTGGTAGTATTCCTTTTCACTTATAAGTGAGAGCTCGTAGGTTCGAATCTCGTTGATGGCGAATTTGATACCAAATTAGGTTGCTCATTATGTGGTTTAGCCGAACTCCTTCTCTCTTTAGTATAAGATATATCGTTGTAAAAAAAAAAAAAAAAAAAGTTTAAAACTAAAGGAAATGTTTCAAAGTAGCAAGATGCGGACAACAATTTGAGTGCTGATACCGTCCGGCTCGAACTACACACAAACTGAGAAAACCAACAAAGTTCAGTTTTGCAGTAAGTTACAGAATATAACACAAAAACTAACTGAAAACAAGAAAGCATCGTAGTATATCACGAATTCTAAAACATAAACCTACAAAAATAAAAAAAATTTAGGTTTGCAGTAAATTATGAATTTTAAAACAACCAAAGATCAAGAAAATTCAGTTTTGCAATAAATTATGAATCCCAAAACAAAAAATTTAGCCTTCTCTCTATTTCCTTAGCTAGCCACCGTGCTCTTAAAATTCCTCTATCTCCTATATCTCATAAAGAGAAGTACATGCATGTCCATTTCAGCTCTAAAAACCAAAAGAAAATATTAGGGTTTCTTAGTTTCTTATCCAAATCCACCAATTTGAATCAAATCTCTGCAGCCCAGCTTGAAATCCATCTCAAATCCCCTCCACGAACAAGAATCTTACAACATGCATGAAGAGGAATCAAATAAAAACTCAAATTCCAAATTCTCAAATCTGGAAGTTGAAAATTTCGAGAAGCTACATACCTTGAGGAGAGGAAGAGATTGATACCCTATCCGATGTTGGGGGTGGTCAAGATTGACCGAGATCGACAATAAATCACTTAAATTCGTCGACTAGTTAGGAGCTCGACACGAATCTATAGCTTTCGACCTTGCATGATTTCGTAGATTATTTTTAATTAGCAGTTTTTAATTTTTTTAATTTTGTTAATTAAAAAACAAAAACCTGAAAAACCAAATTTTAAAGACTCAAGAAAGAGTTTTCAATTTTTATTTTTAAATTGAAAGTAGTTATCAAATGAGTTTTAATTTTTTAATTAAAAAATAAAATTGTTATCAAACAGTCATAAAATTAACTACATATTGATCCAAATCTATAACCTTTATATTCTATTATTTCGATCACTTAGTAAAGGATCCACGACATCGCAAATTTCAAATATAAAACTACACATCAAAGTTCCTCACTACTTTTTTTCTAGAATCAGTCAGTCAATAAATCACATTATTAAAGATTGCTTGACATTTTTGTGCAATCATAAACTACTTTACTGATTTGATATTTTTAGTTTCTAAAAAAATATAGGACACGTAAATCATGTAGGTTGTCCCATCCATTCGTTGATAGACAAACTGAAGAAACAAAAAGAGCCACCTCAACCACTGGAAATAGACAAAACAACAAAAAAAAGGGACTTGGATCCTCTCCTGAGCCTAAGGAGAGGATCCTCCTGACTAAGAACTGTGGATTGTTGAATTTTTATCTAACAGCTATAAATAGAGGGGTCATTTTAAAGTTATAATAATTATAACCGTTGGATAAAAATCCAAATGGCCCAGAGTTCTGATTGTAATATTTTGCTGCTTTCACATACGAAATATGTCGTTTCGTTTCAGAAAAGCATACTGCATATCTGATTATGTAGAAGAAAGATTCATTCAGCTTTGAAGCCATTCAAAAACTCCTAAATCACAAGAAAGGCAAAATATTTCAATGCATTGCATTTACAGGTAACTGGAAAAAAAAAATACTGGACAAAGACCTTTTACATGTACCCCAGTATAAAAAATGTATATATACACACATAAGTACATAAATAGGATGTATACTTGGCAGCACGAAATCACTCTCACTCATATACTATGGAGAACAATGGAGCCTTCATATGAATTCATGCTTTTGGTGGTGGTAAAGAAGGTGTGGTATGTGTATGGGCCTCCACTAGTATTGACCACAGGACATGCACATCCTCGCAGGGGCAGGATTTTACATCCTCATACAGAATGTAAATTCCTCTTCCTGCTACAAACAACCACAAAGAGATCCAAATATTAGTTATCGCAATAGATTGTAGATCTTAAAAAGGCTTGTGTGTGCGTGCGCGACAGTTTCAAGAAGACACTGATATTGTGCAGAAGGCTCAAAAGTGGAGGGAAATGCAGGTTGGGTGCATGAACATGAAACTAGAACGCGTAGTTGAGCGTGCAGAAGTATGGAGAAAATGTAAGGGTTGGAGAAAGTGATGAGAACTTACTTTTCTTCGGACCGGAATGGAGGCGAAACCACATCTTCTTAAGAGGAGAGAAGAGGGAGTGCAGCCACCCCATTTTCAGAAGAGGGTGTGACGCGCATGTAGGTGAAACCAAATGAGAAGAAGAAAAATAAACAAAAAGAGACAAAGAAACGGAATGAGAGAAATGAAATGTAGGTATTGCTTAGAGAAGGGGTGAAGTTTTTAAAGTCACTGTTTTCTAAGACAATTTTTACTTTCATTCCCTTTGCAATGCAGGCCAGTCACGTGTATCACATGTTGCTCTTGCTGCCATGTCTTTGTCAAACCCTCGCCCTTTTATATCTTATAACACAAGGAGCCACTCGGCCACCCTCACCAATCACATTTGCTTTTCTACACACTTCTACACAGAGCTCTCTCTCTTTCTCTCTCTCTCTCTCTCTCTCTCTCTCTCTCTCTCTCTCTCTCTCTCTTGTGAATTGAGTTCCTTATGCCTCAAGCCACATTTTCCTATTCACGCACTCCTTTTCAGCTCTTTACTTTTTTCACATTCTGTTTATTATTATCTATTGATTCTCCTTTGATTTATTCATTCCAAAGGCTAAAACTAAACAGAAATATGCATAAAAAATAAAAATAAGTTTACGGAAATCAGTTCCCTTTTTTGTTTTACCATTTTAGGTCACTTCTTGCGTTTTAAGTAAACCCCCAAGCTTCTTATTGGACTCACGTACAAGGTCTGTGTCTTCAGTACCTCAACCTGTCCCATACTCCAATTTGGTTGCCCTAGAAGTGTCTCAGACCATGGTTTCCTAGCTGACTCATCAACCCCTTGGTTCCATACCATTCTTAATTTGCTTTTGATTAGTCCTAACTTTCTAATTAGGGATATGACCTTCATGATTGAATAGCACATTCTTCAAACTAATAAATAAGAAGCAGAAAACATAATCTCCTCTTCTCATAGGTAAGAAATGGCCTTTAGCATCTTAATCATATATGTCTCTGTTATGATCAATCGGTCTAAGTAATTTGCCTCATTCACATCTAGGTCATGAATGTTTGGAATCCATATTATGTAATGAGACATTGCTTTTGAAATAAAAAATAAATAAAAGTTATAAAACTGCTTTTGGTCTAATTCTTGGGCAATAATTGAGTTGGGGCTTACTATAAAATAAACATCAGCTACGTAACACATTAGCCTTTCCTATTCATTCAATCCATTAAGTTCTTCAATTTGGTTTTTAAAACAGTTAAATTTTGTTCCATTCTTCCCAAGGTGATCAATAATGAGGATTTCAGTCTAGCCCAATCACAGAAGTACCATCTTCTGCAGACCACTCCAAAACTCTTTCCCAGCTGCTATTCTTCCGATGTCGCTGCATTGGGCTTTTTTATTTTATCAAAGTCATTGGACCTTAAGCCCGTAATCACTAAACTGGCTCCTATAATAGGCCTACAGAAAGCCCAACACTTCTTTTGAAATACAGTAGTTGATTTGCTACTTTTATTTTTGTAAATAAAATATATTAAAAAAAAAAAAAAGGAAACTATACAAAACAAGCAGCATAAGCTGCAGCCACCAGAAACAAATAACGTTGCATCAAAGCAATAGCAGCAACAGGAGGAAAGTACAAAACCCCAAGGGTAGGGCAACAAATGGGGACATTCCATTCTCGCAAAATAGTGGTTTTTCTACTTTAGTATATGCTTATTGTAAGTCTTAAATTCCACTTATGTAATTTGATTTGTAAAGTAATACGATATGGTGGAGGATCCTTAATTCTGAATACAAATTATAATAATTTGGTATGAAACTAGCCATCCACGAGAATTAACTTTAAAATCTTCATAGTACAATAATATGATTCGTGAAGAATCTTTTGTTTTTTGTTTTTTGCTAGACAAATATTTCTATTTGTAATTGGTAATAAGAAACACAAAATATATACATAGTTTACTTTTCCTCTATGAAGAGTAGGTAGTGTATGTGCCAGAACACTTTTAAGGAAAGTTCAAGTTCTACTCTAAATTAATTAGCAATATGGGCATAAGAGTATATCTGTTTATACGGATACGTGAGATATCTTATACTTTTATGTGAGACATTTCTTCATGTATGACGAATATAACACGTAAACAACACTAATTCGATATGGTGGAGCACTTGGGGTCGTTAAGCTTCATATGTGGGCTAACCAGACTTAGATACTATGAACGTAGTTGAGGTTTAACCATGAAACCAAATGACAGTATGAAGAATAACTTAATTTCTTATACGCACATACAATATTTCGTAAACTTTCAATGTAGAACAGTTCTTCACACACTAACAAAAAAATTGAGTCAGATTCGATGGATTTGGGTTGCCCTTGCACCATTGGTTGAGTTAATCCTACCAATTAAGGCCAAAGCATATAAAATGAAAGTAATTTGTATCGAATGAATAACCACTACCGTGCTTCCCGCTGTAATAATGTTATGTTATGCGTAAGTTTCTTTTCAGATACACATGTACCAATACGATGCATGCATAATCTAGACTATGAACCTACGGTTCAATCAGTGTCCTTGAAACCAGACCAATCCTCTGGTCCAAGAGAAAATTTTCATTATGACCGAAACACGAAAAGTACACTATGTGTTTTTATATAAGTGTTGAAATTTTTTATTTTTTAAGTTATTAAAATTTCCCTAGGCCAAGGCAAAAGCTCAGCTGATAGAACCAATACAATCATCTGTAAGACTGACTGAGAGATCGTCTACAGTAAAAGGATTTCCAATAATTATTGATTTTCACACAGGGTTTCAATCATTTCATCCAAAATCCGGAAATAAAGATGCTCCATCTCCACTCCCAAAGTTTGACCTCGCCATATCTCATACAAGTTACAAGATGATGTAATTTACTTTTACCATTTAGACATGCAGCCCTCATTCGGCGGGGTACCTGCATTCGCCATGTGCTTGGAAATGACCTGCAATGTTTACGACAATGCATACTTGATTCATGGGCTTCTCACTTCTTCATGGTAAAAAAGTAATACAAACATGAGTAAAAGAGCTAGTAGAATAATTAAAGGCATGTTAGCAAATACGAATTGGAATCGTTATAACCTTTTAGTTTCTTGCGTTTATTATAATGTGTACAAAAATGAACATAAAACACTGGTTTAATTTGCACTTTGTGAGTAGAAAGACCAAATATAAATTTGGTTCTTGGGTGCAAAGATTAAAATAAAAACAATTATACCTCATATATACTACAATTAACGGTGTTATGATTTTGTACCTACAACTTTTGGAGTGCTTGGGTAATGTTACAGAAGGAAATTGTTTGTGGGTTCTAGTTGGGTTTGTATACAATAGTGAGCAGTGCAGATTTAGATGTTCAAATTTGAAAATTAAATTAACTGACATATTTGGTGTGCGTGATTTAAATTTGAGATAATTTTGAGGTTAATCAGGAGTTGGATAATCTGGAGATTTTAGTGGCAAGGCTAGTAATTTAAGGTACATAAATGTATGTCACTAAGATGAGTTATGACAATGTGATAAATAGAGGACTTGAATCAAAGTTTTGAACTAAATAAGGCATGAGTTTCTATCATTTGATCATGAGAGACTGAAAAGTAAGTGTCTCTAGAATTATTTTAATTCTTAACCTTTCATGTATTTATTTTTTTGAAATGAAACGATAGCAATTTTATTTGAACACGTTAGCTTGTAATGTGTTTATCAGCTCATATGGTATATGAAAAAATTGTAGATTTTCCTTCAAATTCGTAATTGAATAAATTAAAAAATAAAAAAAATAAAAAAGTAAAAAAGTAAAAAGCTAGAAGAACTAGTTGATCTGATTCACTTTCTTTCCTTTATTCTGATTTCTTCAGTTCTTTACTTCTAATTCATGTTAAGTAAATATGTCATCAATTTATTAATTTAGACCATATGCATAAATTCGTTTCCTCCATCTCAGTATCACTTGTAAAAAGCGCACACGCAACAACATAAAGAAATATTGAGATATTGGAGTCAAATCATCTAAATGTTACAAGTTCCTTTTTGTCTAATCACACCAATTCATCAGACCAAGTGAAAAGGTTAATAAGTTAACTTACTATCATTACCAAATTCACTTTTACTTGAATTGTTGTCTCAATTCAACCATATCCTTACATGATTTCAGTTTAACGGTAGTTTTACTATTCTCCATGTCAATTCATCAACATATTAGCCAATGGATTCTATAGAACATGATATCATATAAGAGAATGTTGATGAAATGAAAATGTGAATTTGTAGCATGAATTAACTTGTACGGTTGTAAGTTTCCTTGATTGCCCTAATCAATGTAACACTTTTCATGGAAATTAATCAAATATTAATATATTTTTCATTCCATTAACGTCAAGTCGACTTATCAAATTTTAAATCATTCCAAAAAAATCTCATTACTTCAAGTTTTAAGAATTTATTTGCCTGTTGCTACTTGAATAATGTTTGACTATTCAAAGATGAGTAGGAATTCCTACTTAAAATTTTTCAAAATTGTTCGTTGTCAATTCATAGAATTTCGTATTTATAATTAGAACCGTTGATATTATAAATCACTCTATAAAGATCGTCTCTGCAAAAAATCAATTAAACTAAGGTCATTTAGTCATTAAACTGTTTAAAAACAAATGAACGATATTGGTAAAAGCATTACGAACCGTCAATGTATTTGCTACAATAGATTGACTAAACGACTGCTACAATAAATTGACTAAACGACCTTAGTTTAAATTTTTTTTTTATATAGAGATGACCTTTACAGTGTGATTCATAATATGAACAGTTCTAATCATAAGCACAAAACTCAAAGATTAAAACTCCAAGAGTTTTGAGTAGAGTTCCTACTCCTCTTTGAGTAGTCAAGTATTATTCTTGCTACTTGGTACTATGATTTAATGATATTTATTTTCACTTACAACTTATAAGTGGAAGGTCTTGTCAGTTGTCACTTAACGCTGTAGTGTAGTAGCATTCCTCTTCATTTAACAATGAGATGTCTTAAGTTCAAATCTCATGATGAATGACAAGTTCGAAGTTTAATTGTTTCACCTTCATTACTTTCATCTTCATGTTGAATGTTCTTATCTTCACTAAATCGTTATCCTAGTATAAAAAAATTCAGTAGTAAATTGGTTCTCTTACATCATTTAAAATTGAATACTAACAGTATGGTTTTAGAATCTTTTTCTATAAAAAATTGATGGAGAGATA